TCTAGTCGGTTTGACAGTAAACGTTTTCGTTGCACTTTTACAAGCGTACGGACACATGTAAAGTTATCTACCTGGGCAAAAAACATCGCGATTTACACCTACATTTAGGGGAAGCCGGGGGAAGCCCGGCATAGTAAGCTCTTTTTCATTTTTATTACATACCAAACGTGCTGTATAAAATGTTGATATCCTGTTAGCTAGATAAGTTAATTGGCCGTGTTTTCCCAAAAATTCGGTTTCGTGGAAATAGTATAAGGTTGAGAAAATCGAGTTTTAAAAAAGTGTTGTTTTTTCTGGGGTAAGCCCGGCATAGGGGTAACGCCGGCCACCTCCCCAGCGCTTTACAACGAGTTGATGAAACCATTATGTGTCTTCCAAATATTGACGGAAAGTGAAATATTAAGGTACTGATTAGCTCCGGACCTCTTATAGCTTATGTCACTACTGGTATTTTAGCTAGCGTCTACCACATATACAGTACAGGTCGATGAAAATCGCAATGCAAAATTGACAAAAAAATGTGTATTTCAAAATTCCTTAGATTTTTTTTTTTTATTTACCTAAATGCATCATATTGCATATCATTCGACTCGGCTGATAAAGAAGAACACAACGACACCATTTTTGAAGCTCTAGCTTCATTGTCTGTCGCGTTATCTGCAAAAACGTAGTTTGACCCTAGTTGACCTCAAGTGACATGACTGTTCCTGTAGCATACAAACATAAACTTAGTCACTTATTGATATAAAATGATGAAGGGTAACTAAAATCCGTTAAAATGGAGTGGATATCTCCCATATTTTACAGTAAAAACCAGGCAAGCAATCGCCCTTCATCCATACCTGATATTTATAGGCACTGGAATAGAGCGACAGGCCGAAGAGGCTTTGTCTATGATAACATGTTTATTTTCGAAATTTATCTTTGATCTAGGTGTAAAACAAACCTACTCAGTACCTATTATCTCATGGAAAGCAGTGGTTTAGTGGCATTGCTCTCGGTTGGGGGTAAGCTTGGCCACTCGCCCGGGGTTACCCCAATGTGCTAATTTTTATTTTAGAACAGCGATGTTCGAAAAAATGTCATACTTAAGCCAGCCTGCCTCGTCACCCCTCACTACAAACACTTAAACGGTCCTTACATAACATTCGTATAAATATTAGGACTGAATGGTATAACATTAACAGTGCAACATATCTCACTTCTTAGCTAAAAACCCTTAAAATATCATTTTTGCTCTATAACTTTAACAACATACAATTTTTGTTAGCCTTAGCTTTTTTGCTGGCGTTACCTTAGCTGCCACGCTGAAAGGACAAACAGTTCAGCATTTTATTGTGAATCATTTAGCCGGAAACGGGGTGGCCGGGCTTCCCCCGCGCCCGGGCTTCCCCCGGCTTCCCCTATTATTTAACCAGCGTGAATAACATTATGAATGTTAAAATAAGCCGCAATGATATTACACTGCCGGGGTGATTGCATTCCGTCTCATTCGCTTAGCCATGTTAAAGTATAGGGCGCAATTGGGTTCTAATTGCGCCATCCCCCTGGCGCAATTTACAGCAGTTGTTGGCAAATGCGCCCTTTTGCATGTTTCTGAAAAAGCAGCTGTCAGAAGCAAACGAAACATTCTTAATTGATCGGGAGGCTCTTAAATCGTAGCCAATAAGTTCCTCTTTGAAATGGTTACCAGTGCATGCTTATATCTCAAGCGGTTTTCTTACAATTAGCGTTTTCCCTTAACACGCGCACCGACGGGGGGGGGGGCGGATATCCGCCCCCCCCCCGAGGTTTTTCGCGAATAGCGGGAAAACCGAGGCGCGTAGCGAAATTTGGTACGACTATTCTCTCATCAATTTTACACATGGTGTGCGAGTTTGAACCTACTAACTTTAAAGGTCAGGTCACCAGGTCACTTTGAATGACCCAACCTCAAGTTACTTTTTTGCAACTTTGACACCGTGCCAGAGCTACAGTAGTTGTCGGAGGCCTTTGAAAGTCGCAGGATGTTATAAGGTCAATAGAAGCTACAAGTTGTATATCTCGGAATTTTGATATCGATGACCTAAGGTCAGGCCAATTTTTCGACCTCCCCATTATAAGTCAATGGGGGAAAAATCAACTCCCTGTTTTTACCACTAAAACGGGTCGGAATGGCCCCATAAACCATACATGACCTCATATACGATCAACCTTCACTACCTTGAGGTCTGTTTTGCTGTTGGGCAGCTGTAAGGTCATGTGACGTCATCAAAGGTCACCAGCGGTTTTTTGACAATAACTCCGTACAGGAACAAGATAGAGCCGCGCGGATGGTCTCATTGTGTTCAGCTCATCAAGGCGCATCGAATGATATACATGATGACCTCGAGGTCACGTGACCTGAGGTCAACCTTTGACCTTGACCTTTCGAGGTCAACATATATATCATTCGATGCGGATTGACGAGAGGATCACGATGATGCCCTTAGTTTGTTCCTATATTGACTAGTTCGAAAGTTATTCGAGAAAAACTCTCTCCATACCTAGCGCCGCCATTTTGACTTTTTTGACCCCTGTGACGTCATCTTTGACCTGACCTGAAAATGACCTTAGTAAAAATTGTAGACCTTGCCGTGCGTATCCCTTGCCGTTTACCGCTTGTCGCTATCTTGCTTCGTTCTCGAGATCTCAGGGGGGGGGGGGGCGGTCATCCGCCCCCCCGTCGGTACGAAGTTGGCGCAGACCCCCGTCGGTGCGCGGGTTAAGGTGGCGCAATTCACCCAAGAATTCACCCATGACAACTGAACCAGTGACAACTGAACCAGGACAACTGAACCAGTGACAACTGAACCAGGGACAACTGAAACAGTGACAACTGAACCAGGGACAACTGAACCAGTGACAACTGAACCAGTGACAACTGAACCAGTGACAACTGAACCAGTGACAACTGAACCAGGGACAACTGAACCAGGGACAACTGAACCAGTGACAACTGAACCAGGGACAACTGAACCAGTGACAACTGAACCAGTGGACAACTGAACAAGTGAACAACTGAGCCAGTGGACAACTGAACCAGTAGACAACTGAACCAGTGACAACTGAGCCAGTGACAGCTGAACCAGTGACAACTGAACCAGTGACAACTGAACCAGTGACAACTGAACCAGTGACAACTGAACCAGTATGACAACTGAACCAGTGACAACTGAACCAGTATGACAACTGAACCAGTATGACAACTGAACCAGTGACAACTGAACCAGTGACAACTGAACCAGTAACAACTGAACCAGTGACAACTGAGCCAGTGACAACTGAACCACTAACCAGTAGCCCAGCAAGCAATTTTACTCCGGGCCTAAGCAGGCTGAAGTGCGGCTTGCCCGAGATTTTTAGTCGGGCTAAAGTCGGCTAGCGCTTGGACTAAAGTCGGCATGAAGCGCTTGGGCTAAAGAATTAAGTCGGCGTATGACACAAAAACGCCGACTAAAGCCCATGCTCTGCCGTAGGTATATGCCCTCTCGGCGAGCTCAGGACAGCCGTTGTTTAGCCCTAGTTGTGCGACGTTTGGCGTAAGCCCGATGTAAGCCCGAGCAGTGAATCCATTTATATACCAGAGATTCCTCTGGGCCCAGGCGGGCTGAATTCTGCCAAGCCCACGTGGTGGGCGTAACGGTTACCACTTACCACACCAGTTCGCGACCACCAGGCTCTGTCAGTCCTGTCAGCCGTCGTACGGCTCTCGGACGGACACTCTAATAGATCGGACACAGATCAATTGGCAGACCGGCAGATTGGCACAGACCGTCCGTCCAGCCACGCGCTACCTATACCTACAACGCAGTACGACATTAGTTGTCCACTGGTTCAGTTGTCCACTGGTTCAGTCGTCCACTGGTTCAGTCGTCCACTGGTTCAGTTGCCATACTGGTTCAGTTGTCACTGGTCCAGCTGTCCACTGGTTCAGTTGTCACTGGTTCAGTTGTCCCTGGTTCAGTTGTCCCTGGTTCAGTTGTCCCTGGTTCAGTTGTCACTGGTTCAGTTGTCACTGGTTCAGTTGTCACTGGTTCAGTTGTCATACTGGTTCAGTTGTCACTGGTTCAGTTGTCACTGGTTCAGTTGTCACTGACTCAGTTGTCACTGGTTCAGTTGTCCACTGGTTCAGTTGTCCACTGGTTCAGTTGTCACTGGTTCAGTTGTCCCTGGTTCAGTTGTCACTGGTTCAGTTGTCACTGGTTCAGTTGTCGCTGGTTCAGTTGTCACTGGTTCAGTTGTCGCTGGTTCAGTTGTCACTGGCTCAGTTGTCACTGGTTCAGTTGTCCCTGGTTCAGTTTTACTGGTTCAGTTGTCCCTGGTTCAGTTGTCACTGGTTCAGTTGTCTGCCTACCCCTTCCCCTACCTACACAGCAACAGCAACCGTCTGTTCTAAATCTTTGGTACATCTGTACCCACGATGCTTATTTTGTACCCAGGCGCCTCCTCGAAGCTCTCATTTTACTGACATCTATCGGCCGTGTGCACAACTATAGATTCGCAAACCCGACGTTCAAATGGGAGTGTCTGGTTTCATAACATTTTCCAAGATTCTTACAGTCTACAGATAACATTTTCAACAGCATTGAGGCTGAGAAATCAAATTTATTTGGCTGTTTTTTTTTAGCAAGGGCAGAGGCGAAGACAAAATAGTTAGGGGTAGAAATTGATCATTGCTTTTCTTCATTTTCATGCCGGTCCTGCCACTGTCAGTCTTCACTCTTTAGCTTGCCGCCCATTCATATTATTTATTGTTCGCATTATAAGTTATCAAGTTATAAGTTACATAGGCTTATACATAAGGTACTGATATTTTGCATTATACGTTATAAGTAATCAAGCATGCTCTATAAATAATGGACCGTATAGTGCTTTAGTTTTACACTTTTGATTACAAAGTTTGTCTGCAAAATAAGCTTCGTTTTCATACATAAATTGCGCAGAAAAGACATTGCTGTTATTATTCGATGCATGTTTTTTAATCCCACCCAGAAATGACAAACAAGCTCCCTGATTGGCCAGTTGCCGGCCAGTTGGACTTGAGCGGTCGCCATGGTGGTATCGGGGACTCGGCCGGCCTCGTTGGATGTTGAATTATGTGTTTCGTTGCGCTAGATATTGCCAATTTGCTTTGATATTTGATAAATGACGTTGGCTTTTTCTTTTTGTGACATTGCATACTAATACGACGATATTTTGGTGCCGATTTAAACATCTTGAGACAAATGTGGCGATTTCCACGCCCTTTTGCAGTGCCCCCCTCACTTTGTGTAGTGAGTTAACAGGCTTGTAAGAACCAAGTGAACCATTTTTTAGTCAATTGGTCATGATTGTCCCTACATCTAATGGGTAATAGTCTTGTGCAAACTTATTAGGTACTGGAGGAAGCAGAATAGTTACGATTTTGGAGTACGCAAACTTGATATTAAAAAATCTCAGGTATTTTGGCTATAGAAAGTGAGAAGAAAAGTTCAATTTATCATTTTTTATTGCAATTGCAATAACGATAATATCATGCTAATTGTACTGTCAGGTATTGATGATAGTCATGTCACGTCATGCCACTAACCACACAGTCACAACACATTTTCATCTTTATGTATTTAGGCATAAGGTATTACAGGCATGTTTTTGCACACCTCTCATGTGCAAGTGGGCATGGCCTCCTTCACAGTCAAATTTTGGCTGATTGTGCTCAAATTTTTAAGCACCTACATGTAACTAGGGATGCAGATACAGTTAGTCGGGCACTCTACTTAATTCAGTTTTGTGCACGACTTCCTGCTTTCACCGTGCTGTGCCCACTCCGCTTTACAGTGGACAGCTGCTTGTGTGACACGCATTGATCTTGCATTCATTGAAACACTTAGTTTTGAGTGTTTTGACTCAGTTTTGTTGTAACGTTACCTTTGTTTATGTTTTCAATAACTTGTTTTGGGCTTCTCATATTAATCATTTTTTTTTGACGTAGCAGGTTTAGTGTAAAACAAGTTTAAGCTGAAATATTTACATGTTCAGATTACATGAATGCATACATTTTATAAAAGCTATTTCAAAGTACTGTAGCCATGTGTAACATGCATATGTCTTAGTCAATGACTACTCAGCATGCTGTTTGGTGTTCAATGGTAACAGTTTGATTTGTTTTTGACATCAAATAAGATTTGATTTGTGTTTCTGAGATTCCTATGTTATTTGTGGCAAATATTTTCCAAAAATCCTCCATCTAAATCTTCAACTGAATTCTAAAATGCCTGCATTTTCTACCAGAAACATTATCATTGATACCTCCTACAATATTTCATTTTTGTCACTAGGTACCTGGACTGGTGAAAAGTGAAAACTGAAATTCATTCATGTCACCATTATCCCAAGACCTCCCCCTAAATGGAATTGATCTTGTTTCACAAATGAGTTGTACAATGTCTTTCAGCTGATGTCTATTGTCTATCTCTTTTTCAGCACAGAAGATCCTCAGTCATAGTTAACAAAATGGAAAAAAATTAGCTGTGTTTTTAATATTCCAGTCGTGGCCATCAATTGCTCAGGAAAGCAGCCCAGAATCACTTCACAACAGGTATGTTGATGCATGTACATTGATATCAATGTCTGAATGCTGAATAATTGTTGAACAGGGAACACATTTAGATTTACCTAGCCTTTAAAAACCACAAATCCTACATTACTTACATCAACATTTTTCTATAGAGCTTATATTATCTACTTTCATCTGGCTAAGGCTTTTTAACATTATATTCCCTCTGTTAAACAAACAAAATATGATAGTGTAATAAGCTGATAATTATATATGCCTTGTCAGCTTGGCCAACATCTGCATCATGCCTATCACAAAATATGACTGCTTTCCTGACATTTGCATTTGTTCCACTCACCAATCGACCACTTCTACCATCTGCTCGCTCTATGCACAGACATTGTCATAGGGTCTGTTCCAGTCGCACTTCCTAACACCTCTTAACTCCTCCAAGATTGCTTCCCTGTTCCAGTGGCAGCTTTCGCCCCTACAAAGACAAGAAGGGCCCTGCTCCAACCTCCTCTATCTTGCTCTTGGAGGAGTTAAGATGTGTTAGGAAGTGCGACTGGAACAGACCCATAGCAAAACAGTTTCATCTCTCTGTACTGTCTTTTTTCAGGTTTCCAAAGGATCATCATTCATCAGCACAGAAGGGGGGAAAGAGAAGGCTGTTCAAATTCTGAAAAGCCAGAGCTGCAAAGGAGGTCAAAGATGCAGTGTAGTTGGCCCACTCAGTAGAGTTTCACTAGTGGTTCTGATGTGGACTGGGGATTACACGCTGGATAGAAGTGGCCGGTCTGGAGCAGCTGTAATTCATCATTCGTGCTGACTGCGGACGAGTAAGAGCCCGCGTTGGCCCCGATCGGCGATCGCTGGCCAAAGCCCACCACCAGGTTGGTGATAGGCGTTGGTTGTGATATGTAGTGTCGCCTATGTGTGAAAAGGACAAGTTGATAACAAAACCTGTTGCGCCATGTTATTAACCCGCGCCCGGGTGGCCCTCAGCCAACTTGGTGGTGGTGGTGGTGGTGGTGGGGGGGGGGGGGGAAGGAGGGGAGGCGTATTCGGCCACACCAGGTTATCTTGGAATGTAACAAAGCTGGAAAGACGCAGTAAAATCAATATATAGCTCGCTATTTTTTTCAGAATCATACAGGTCATTTTCGATCAGGTCATCGCTAAGGTCACTGGAGGTCACCAAAAGTAAAATGATGACGAATTTTGGCTCCCGATTTTGACAACTTCAGATATTGGTTCATAACTCGGGAACCAAAGAAGCTACAGCGCCGCGGAAAAGCGAATTCGATAGCTCTTTCGAAAATCTTTCAGATTCTCAGATTTGAGCTAAGGTCAACTAGTTTGAGCCTCCAAAGGGCAAAAACTGAACATTCGGCGTGCTTCGGAAATCGTCTTTTCTTTTAAAACTTTTGATACTAACCTTTTATTACGTTGATTTTACTGGCACTGCGTTTCTCTCGTCTTGTTGACCTAACAAGGTCAACTTAATAAATTTGACCTCAGGTCAAAGTTGCAGAAAATGCCATATTGCATGTCAGTCGATTCGTTACATTGAGATTGAGATTAACATCAGTAGCGGCGGAACACCTTCAATTGAGGGGGCATTGCCGAGTTTTGGTCCCATTCTTTCCATGCAACGCCCATAGGGCTAATGTTAAAATGCCAGAATCAAAGGGGGCACTGTGCCCCGGTGCCCTCCCCGTTCCGCCGCCTATGATTATGATGTTTTTAGCGCTCTGGCCACGTTCCATCTAAAATCAATGTACAAAAATAAACTGTTGGAGACGTTACATGACCTGAGATGACCTCAAGAGCATACGATATATCCCGATGTTTGAGTGTTTTTGTTTCAAAAGCAGAGCATTTCGAGTTCCTCATACTGACTGAAACTGGAGACGTCGCAAAGTTGACCTGACCCTAGGTCACCGATATCAAAATTAAAGATATGTATTCTGGATGTTGGTACTGATTCTCTCATGCAATAGCTCGAGTTTCAAACTTCTACGTCATGGTGACCCGACCTGACCTTAGGTGACATGGGGTTTGTTACATTTTTCACAAATGATGCGAATCGATGCATTATACATAAGCTATACTAAGTTTCGTGTCGTTTTATTTATGCAAGCACAAAATTGTCAGGTGCGGCCAAAAACGCCCCCACCCACCCCACCTGGGGGAACGTTAACCCTATTAGTGGCAGGGGTGAGGGGGGGGGGGTTGTTTTTATCCACCCCTCAGGTTTTTCGGGAATATCTCCGAAACCGCTGAAGCTACGATGCTGAAATTTTCTGACTTTTCCTAAAACTAAATTGGGCACATTCCCTGAAAATTTTCAAGTTCATAACTTTACCAGGGGCGGCTCCAGAGCACTGGGAATTGGGTGTCCTATTCGTGAAGCGAGTCATTTGGGCGAAGATCACGATGCTGCACCAGTTTTACGAACAGTGAATGAAAGGTATCATGTGATAACATATACAAAGTTATTGTGCATCCTCTTTTGACACGTTTTTGCTATAATAGGCGGATCCAGGCGTCCAAAAAGGGGGGTTATTTTTTACCTCCCAACATAGGTGCCCTGACACCGCCTATGCATGACCAATACAATTTTAGTCGTTCTCTCATAAGAAAATTGTAACATAACAAGACCATTGCCACCCTTTTTAGAAACAGTACCAACAAAAACCTTATTTACTATACTTTTTGTGTACCCCCAATCTCAATGATCTGTATCCGCCTATGATTTTTGAAAATGCATATTTTTAGGATCCATGTGAATTCCTGGTTCATTCTCTATCGATCGGCAAAAGTTGCGTTAAGATTGGTTCAGAAACCTGGCCGTGATAAACAGTCTAAAATGTATCTGCAATTTGCCCGTTTTTACCCCCCTCTACCCCCCTATTGACATTTTTAATTTTATTTTTTTTAGAAATGTAGATCTCGTTGAGCCAAATCGAATGCCGTTTGAATTTTGAAAATCGGCCGGTTAGATCTCGAGATATCAAGGGGGGGTCGTAAACAGCCCCCCCCCCCCCTGCCACTAATATGGGGTAGCCAGGAGCCTGCCACTAATAGGGTTAAAGCAGTGATATATTATTCGGTGTATTCCACGATGCATCGATCGGTGTACTTGATAATGCATTATTTATTGCTGCGTGTCTACGCTTTTGCTCTGTTCAGTGTGATCTGTGATAGGAAAACTACCGATATATCTCCACGCGCATGACTGAAAGAGCTGGCATGATCTACAATATTGCGTGTCTGTTTTTGTTAAGCATTTTATAAATACTGAGTCAGCTGTGATCGTTTGATGAGACACTGGGACAGCCGGCCTGTATGATCAGCGAACGGCAGGCGGCGGGGCGGTGGTCTGGTGGCTGCTGCATGGGACTGACACCAGCAGATTCAGAGCTGCGATACGCGGACGTTATGTTCACAATACCTTTGCAAAATAATATCTAATAGATATCATGTCCTCGAAAATGTTCTTCAGTCAATATGATGTTACCTGCTGGCTTATTCCATGGGGGCCAAAACCAATCGTTTTATGCAATATGCATGCCTTTTCGGGGCTTCGTTCTCCTCTAAATGCGTGTAGGTAGCAGTTTTATTCAAGGAACGATGGAAAGTGCCTCCGATTGGTTTTCAGCGTAGGTGGGATATGGCCGTTGAATGTGAGGCAGTCGATAAGGAACGTCGAGGGAACGGTCATTGGGTAGGTATGTGAAAGGCAGCAGTAGAAAACAAGGAAGGGAGGCGTTTGGTGTGAGGTTTCAAATGCTCTATGTATAAGAAAAGTTCATTTGATTACCTATATGACACCGTCCTTTTTATCGCGATACGTGAGCAACGCATGAGACGCTCACTGTTCAGGCTTGTAGCGTTAGAGAATGGGCCGACAGGCTGAGAAGGGCTATTTCCGCGAAAGGATATTCTGGAATTTGAATTGAAAGGTATTTAGTTTTGAAAGCATCCGTACTTACACGATACTGACTCATTTAAAATTTCACTTTTTCCCCATTGCGATAACATAAGAAACCGAGACTGCGGTGTCCCCGTACGCAGGATTCTGGAGACTGTCGGGCGGATGTTAGTGGCTGAAAGCCTTAGTTCTTAAGTAAGTAGAAAACAATCATTTCTTTTGATACTTTGTGACACCTAATTCACTAGAAACAATCTGTACGGGCTTCCAAAAAATGTTATATTTAACACGTAAGATCCATTACAATATTTTAGCTGCCCTAACCTGTGAATATAACGTATGCGTCATTATTGAAAAAGTGCTAAAGCATAGTATTCTATGGCTGACAAATATTCTGCGTCTGTCAGCCAAAACTGGCCAATCAGAGGCTTTGTTTGTCATTTCTGGGTGGGATTAATAAACATGCTTATTCGATAGTGCATTTTATGCATTTTACATGCAGCCTCAGCTCTCCTGGGCTTAGCTCTTTCTGATTATTCAGATTATTTCAAATATCGAGGCAGGGTATGGTCTTCCAGTATCTCTGGATCATTTAAATTAATGAAAGAGGCAAATTGGTGATGGAGGTAACCCAAGGTGAACCAGTGAAGACTCTAATTGTTCTAGGATCAGGTAAGCAGAGAATGAGCATGAATTAGGATTGAATTAGGATTGAGTGCTATTACTCTGGCCTTAGTTTGTATTCTCCGGAGCATGGTTTCAGTTTGTGTGTTTTATGTTCATCATTTTCAAATGCTGGTTGTTCCTCTAACATATCAATATGGCAATTTTTCCAAAACGAAGATACTCCCATTGGTAGTGTCTAGTGTGTTTGTGATGTGCATTGTGATGTCAAAATTTTGGTTTTCCAAATGCTTAGGACTGTTACAGGTGAAAGTCACCTTTTCCATCCTGGGATCAAAATGGAATAAAAAATAGGTACACATTGATTTCCTCCTTTTGCACCCTTAAAAACTGAGTAAATTCTCAAAACAAAAGCATGAAAAGTACGAACACATCCTTCTGAGGTTGAAAAATGAGACTAAACATTGATACTTAAGATATTTTTCACACAAAACATTCATAATTTTCACCAAACCTCTACATTGAGTCAAGTAAGGTTGTTGTTTGTGACAACATGGCTTGTTATTATACTCAGTTTGAGCAAATGAGGAATTAACTAATCACACGATATTGTCACAAACAGTGTAATATATCAAGCTAGAAAATTGGGTAGTCGTAAAGCAGGCATCACACTTTGCAACCACGGAGAGGCACTATAGCATACCCAGAGATGCTTTCTAATCAAACCAGACCAGACCTGACCTAACCTTTACAACCTACAATCTAAAACCTATAACCTACAATCTAAAACCTACCACCTAAAACCTGCAACCTGACTTACAGCACCTCTCCTTGGTTGCAAAAAACAAGTGTGATGCCTGCTTTACTACTACCAAAAATTGTTCATACCATCATTTACTCCTAAGCAAAACAGGTGACCTAAGAGCAGGAATACCAAAACCTTATGTAGCAGACTTAAGACTACCTTACACAATGTAACATAACCTAACCTTACCTTACTCAATGGGTTGTTGGGTCTGCCTTGAAAATGTTTTAGGTAAGCAATATTGTATTGGTGTGTGGTGTCACTTTTCAAGCTAAGAAAGATGTATTATTCTCCAGTTTTTAGAGGATGCAAAAGGTAGTTATAGCCCTGGAATATGTTGTCTTGAAACATTTTAGCTATTCTCACTTGTGTATAGCTAATACTAATACCTTGTGTGACATTGCCCAAGCTCCTTGTGTGCAAGGATTTGATGGCTGAAGTAAGCTATCTGTTTACAATGACAGTTGTCGTGCATGCTCAGACTCATTTCACTGCCATGGTAGCTAGTGCCTCTAACTCGCAGGCAGTTCTGGACTCTGCCATGTGCTCTGAGGCCCGTCGGAGCCGCTGGGAGTGCCTGCCATGGATGCGGTGCGCCGCGCTCCACCAGCTGAGCTGGCCCAGCTCTGCGAGGCGGCGGCGCTGCGCCATCTGGCCGCCCTGTCAGCCGGTGGGGACGGCGCGCGCGACTGGCTGGGCGCCCGCCTGCCAGCCAGCCTCCGCCAGCGGCTGCTGGACGGAGCTCTCTCTGACACCGGTCTGACGGAGGCCGCGCTCACCCGGCTGGCCGGCCTGTTGGCGGCGCCCGGCCTGCAGCGGTTCCTGCTGGCCGAGCCGCTGCTGACGCCCTGTCTGCGCGAGCGGTGCTACTCGCTGCTGGCGCCGTCGGCCGACACGCTGCGCCAGCTGCGGCTGCCGCTGGGCGGCGCCGGCGCGCCCGTGCGCGGCGAGCTCGAGGCGCTGGCCGGCCTGCTGCGCCGGATGGCGGCGCTCCGCTCGCTGGAGCTGCCCGGCGCCGCCACGGACGCCCTGCTGGAGGCAGTCGGCGCCGGCTGTCCGCTGCTGCGGCGGCTGGACGTGGCCGGCTCTGCGGGCGTCACCAGCCGCGGTCTGCTGCGACTGCTAGTGCCCGAGCACCACCGGCACCAGTTGATGCGCCGCTGCCTGTCCAGCGAGCAGCTGCTGCCGGCCGAGCTGCGCCGCCTACCGCCGGCTGCGTGCGCCGGCTCGCTGCGCCAGGTGCGGCTGCGCGGCGCGCGGGTGACTGGCTGCGGCCTGGCCGTGCTGCTGGTGCTCTGTCCCGCCCTGGAGAGCGCCGATCACGAGCTGACGCCGCGCACCGTGTGCGCCCTGCGCGCGCTGGAGCCCGGCCTGCGGCTGGCGCTGACCGAGCTCAGCTGCGGCGCCGAGGACGCGGCGGCCGCCGGTCGGCTGCCGGCCCTGCTGGCCGCCTGTCCGCGGCTGGAGGCGCTCTCCTGTGGTGGCCTGCGGAGCGCTGCGCCGCTACTGGGGCTGGCGCAGGCCCCGCTCCGCCGGCTGTTGCTGTGGAAGGCCTCTCTGTCGCGGCGGCAGCTGCAGCAGCTGCTGACCGAGCTGCGGCAGCTGACGGCGCTCACCGTGTCGTTCTGCGAGCCGTTGCCGGTGTCGCTGACGGAGCTGCTGGCCTGCTGTTCGCGGCTGGAGCAGCTGGAGCTGACAGAGTGCCGGCTGGTCGGTGACAGCGCTGCCGGAGAGGACGGAGCCGGGGACGGCCCGGTGGCACCGGCCGCACCTCCGCTCTCACTGCAGAGTCTGCGCCTGCAGACGGCCGGCTGGCGGGCGGCCCGCTCGGCGCTGACGGCAGCGCAGCTGCTGCCGGTGCTGGAGCGGTCGCCGCACCTCAGCAGCCTGCAGCTGGGCGTGCTGGAGCCTCTCTCTGACGGCGAACTGGAGAGGCTGGTGCCGCCCGGCTGCCAACAGCTGACACTGGCCGGCGGCGCAGTGACGTCAGACTCGCTCTGGACGCTGATCGGCGGCCGGCCGCGGCTGCGGGAGCTGACCATTGTGACACACGACTGGACGGAGTATAACGAGGTGGACGACGTGCGGGAGAGGGCCAGGGCCGAGAATCTGGCGCTAAAGGTGCGCGTGCTGTGCAGGCAGGGTGCCGCGCGGAGGAGCGAGGAGCCTCAGGCGGCGCTGCTGCGAAACTGAAGGGCTGTGCATTTTACCGTGTACTGGGTCATGGGGCTTGGATGCTTCATGCTAGAAAAGACTGCGGAGAGACATAGTGAATGAAATATTCGGGTCGGCAAAGATCGCCAGGATAGGTTCTTCAAAGACAAAAAGTATCATACAGTGACCTCACACTCGGGCAAAGTGCAGAGATGTGCGAACTTCCGTCCGGGACATACCGATTGGAGGGCATGCAGCCATTCCGCGGAGCCTCACATAGAAGTCAGAGACATCCGTCAGTAGCTTTAGTCGCGACCTCGAGACGGCGTTCACGCGCGGCCAGGTGAGTCCCGTTGAACGTTCGTCAGTGTGGACGTCTGAAAGCTGCATGTCGCTGCCTTGCTGATTGCTAAATTTGTCAAAGGGCGTGTAATAACGCTGAAAGAAGTATATGTGTTTCCTTTCCAAAGTTCTGATTGGTTGGCATTGCCTTCATTTGTTGCTTGGAATTCTGCTTGATTTTCCTGACTTTCGGCCACCCATTTAATTGGTTTTAAAGATAACCGACCAGTTTCTTTCATTTCAGTATGAACGTCAATGATGCGTTATTTCCGCTTGTGTCTCGACCGGCCGTGCCCTGCCGCTCTGGCTCTGACGCCGCCCGCCGCTGCCGGCAGGTGGTGGCGATGCCGCCGCGCCGCCAGCCGCCGGCCCTGTACGGGCTCTGCCTGTCCGAGGCCGTGCTGTGGCTGTGGTCGGCGGCCGACGCCGTCTGGCAGGCGGCGCTGCTACCGTCGGCCGGCGCTGCCGCTGCCGCCGACGATGAGCTGCAGCTGGTTCTGCGCTCGGCGGCGCTGCGCCGGCTGCGCGCCGCCCTGCTGGCCCGTCTGCCCGGGCCGGGCCTGCAGGCGCTGCTGGACGAGACGCTGCGCGACGGCCTGCTGCCGGCGCGGGTGCGCGCCACGGCGCTGGCCGCGCTGCTGGCGCCCGGCGTCAGTCGGCTGGTGACGGGCTCCCTGCCGGAGCGGCAGCACGCCGCCCTGCTGGCCGCGCTGGCCGACGGCGGCGGCTCGCTGGCGCAGCTGGACCTGCGCGGCGCCTGGCTGGCCCAGCCCGAGCTAGAGCGGCTCGGGGAGCTGCTGCCGCAGCTGCCGGCGCTGGAGCAGCTGGTGGTGCCGCACGTGGCGTCAGACCGGCTGCTGCAGCAGCTGGCCGGCAGCTGTCCGCGGCTGCAGCTGCTCGACGTCTCCATGTCCCGGGAGGTGACGGGGGCGGGCGCCGCGGCGCTGGTGGCCGGCGGCGCGCACCGCCGGCTGACGGTGGTACGGCTCGGCTGCCCGGGCCGGCGCGGGGACGACCCGTCGGCCGGCGTCAGCCTGCTGTCCGCCCTGCCGCGGCTCGTCTGTCTCGGAGAGAACGAGCACGGCGCCGAGTGTGTGCTGGCGGCGCGGCGGCGCGGCGCGATCGCCACCTGTCGGCTCACCTACCTGCACGCCTGCGTCACGGACCGGGCGCAGATGGCCGAGCTGGCCGCCGCCTGCCCCCACCTGCGCGGCCTCTACCTGGACTCGCCGCACGAGGACGCCGTGCCGCTGCTCCGCCAGCTGGCCGCGCTGCAGAAGCTCAAACTGCGCCGGGCGCCGGCGACGGCCGTGACGGCGCAGCTCGGCGGCCGGCTGGTATGGTTGGAGCTGCTGCAGCCGCGCGGCCCGCTGGACCTGACGGAGCTAGCGCAGCTCACGCCGCGACTGCAGAAGCTGGAGCTGGTGCAGGCGGAGCTGGCGGCGCCGGAGGAGCCCCCGCTGCCGCCGGGACCGGCCGCCGAGCTGTCGGCTGGCCCGGCGGCCTGGCCGCACCTGCTGGAGGCGCGCCTGCTGATGACGGCCGCGCCGGCCGCCGCCTGGGAGCTGCTGCTGGCCGCCGAGCGGCTGCAGCGGCTCACCGTGGACGGCGCCGAGCAGCTGACGGACGCGCAGCTGGTGCGGCAGCTGGCGGCCGGCCGGTGCCGCCAGCTGCAGCAGCTGTGGCTCGGCTGGGCGCCGCAGCTGCACGTGCGCGGCGTTCGGGCGCTGCTGGACTCGTGCCCGCAGCTGAGCAGCCTCGGAAACGTGGAGGGCATCGCCGTGGAGCCGGAGGTGTGGGAGCAGCTGCAGATCGAGGCGCTGATGGAGAACCTGGACGTGACCTTCACGACCGGTTGACGTCACACTGACGTCAGTGATGCTGATGACGCTCCAGGGCGGTCACTTTGAATCTGCCTCCGGCTGTGGTTCCATACTCGACGACCTCTCGGTGATACTTATGCAGTGAAGGGTGGACGGTTGATCAAGCTCCAAGTCCAGCCGAGCCGTCTCGCTTGCTTTGAATGGCTCTAGGATCTGATGCCGAGTGCGGAGAGGACTGCACTGACAATGAGTCGTCCTTAGGCGGTCGGGGACGAAATTGCCGGATTGACGAGAGGGAATCTCAGGACCACAGACGCTCAATCGGCTGGAAGGAACTCCATGTGCCTTTTACTGATATTTTACCCGTCTCAAGAACTGTCTGTTTTATCTGTTGTAGACTCGTCCAGCTTGCTTGTTTCATATTCGTGTTTGACATTTTTTTATTCAAACAAAGTGAACGTTTTACTAGCAATCCCCACCTCTACCCGACTCCCACATTCACCCTGCCCTCTCCCCTCTCCCACTCTCCCCACTCCCTCCCTCCCCCCCTCTCACGGCTCCCGTCGCGGTGCCTCTCCCCGCAGGCGGTCACACGGCCGAGATACTGTCGCTGGCCGCGGCTCTGGACCGGCGCCGGTTCCGTCCCCGGGTGTACGTGGCTGCCGCTGGCGACGCGCTGAGCGGGGAGCGCGCGCTGCGCACGGAGAAGGAGGACGCCGCGCGCCTGGAGACGATCCCCCGCAGCCGGCGCGTCGGTCAGTCGTGGGTGTCCAGTGTATGGACCACGGCTGTGGCGCTGCTGGCCGCGCTCCGCCTGGTGTTCACCGTCCGACCGCGCCTGGTGAGCGGGAGGGGGGGAGGGGGGCACGGAGAGGGTGAATGTATGTTACTCTCAGGGTGTAGCAGAGATAGCAGAGCAGGATGATACGGTGATGGAAGGATGATTTCCGGGTTCACTGATACTGGGAGGTCTAGAGCCGTGATAAGAGGTAGTGGGATAAATTGAAGTGTGGTAAGGCCTTGAGAAAAAGCCCTTGACTTACTTACTGAGAAAGTAAGATTGGGTGAAGCTCTGATTGATCCTGCTAATTGTTGCCGACTGGACCGCTGCGTGGAAAGGTGATGGTGTAGAATTTCATGACCGCACGTTTGTCAGCCAACGGGCGCACCGGGAGCTGTTTGCGCACCTGTTTAGATATTTCCGCAGAAATTTGCGGCAGCTCGCTGTGAAATTGATATCTCTGCAGTCTATTTACTAACCTATGTAACTAGATTGTGGATCGATGACGCACGCTTATCCGCCTGTTGGCCCCAGGTGCTGGCGAACGGACCCGGTACCTGCGTGCCCGTCTGCCTGGCCGCACTGCTCATGAAGGTAAGCGGGTACTCTGAAACCACTGCTCGTGTTTTAGTTCACATGAACATCGGCTTGGCGCCACAGGGTATGGTTGAGTCAGTCTTGTGTTCATTATAAGACAAAGATTATTGTGAAATGACCGGTTTTTGGTAGATAATGGCTGCGGAATCTCCCATATTTTTTTTTACTCGGTTCTCCAATTCATGTGCTTTAGGGCTGCGGAATCTCCCATATTTTTTTACTCGGTTCTCCAATTCATGTGCTTTAGTTTTAGTTTCCGTGACCTAAACAAATCGGTTTCAAGTCATACCTGGGCTTTTATATTTTTTTTTATCGAGCGTGGATGTAGCGTGTTCATTGAGTACAGCTCCCCTCTGACTACCCGCCCCGTCGGCTCTGTTTCAGTGGCTGCTCTGGAGGCCGGTGCACGTGACTTTTGTGGAGAGCGTGTGTCGCGTGCGCTCCCTCTCGCTCAGCGGCCAGATTCTGTACCGGCTAGCTGACGACGTGATAGTGCAGTGGCCGGAGCTACTACAACGCTACCCGCGCGCCCTCTATATGGGCCGGCTGGTGTGACAACGCTACCTGCGCGACATCTATATCTGATGATCTGGGAACTGCCTCGTGCGGCAATTCTGGGACAGATCTGATGAATGCAAGCAGCAGTGTCCACGTGCTTCCCAACCTCGCTGTCTTTTGACTGCGCTGCATTCTAGATTATGTCAGAAATTAAGAAAGACCTGCCGATTGGTCAGTCTGCGCATGGAGCTCGCAGTGAGCACCAGACTGTTTTCGGCTGTTATTGAGATATGCTCGTTAATAATTCACATCACACATTTGATGAAGTTTTTTTTTCATTGTCTTTGTGCTTTAGATCGCTGCAAGCTATTCATTAAAGCCACTGGTGGAGTGATGCCAGCTCCGTCTCCTTCATATCTCCGTCATCCTTCACTTCAAGTGCACTCACGGGCGCCACTTGCGTGGTTTTGTCCCGTTTGTTCCTTGTGGCATTGGTTCGGGGGAGGCATTTTCTAGTCACAGTGTCTGAGAGTGTGATGAGTGTGGGGGTACTGCCTTGATCAAGTGTACTTTTATTACGGTTTGTTGTTACCGCTTGTATTGTTGATTGTGCATTAGCCATCTCGCTGAAGCATTATAAACGTGCTGATTTTATGAATACATGTTTGACGACATGTTTCGGCCTGAATCGATAACTTTCCTTCACGATGTTGCTGTTTTTCCATCCACGGCCTTTTGAACAGTCTATACTTGCCTTTCGAACTATCGCTGTCCCTCGGACTGGCACCACAGTTCCATCAGTTACCTCTCCCGTCGCCGCCGGATCGGCCCGACATTGGTTCGACGCTCGCCGTCCGGCTGTGTCCGCGGCTAATCCCGGCCGGCGGCAATGACCCGTCACTGACAAAGCCACGGCCGCTGTGTGACCGCTGCCGGTGGCCGTCCAAGCCCAGTGCTGCCTGAATGGAGGTACCGACCGCCGACCGCCGACCACTGCCCGGTGCCCGGCGCTGCATCGACCTGACCCGCGTGCGTGGCGCCATTGATTTGTGATCGCGGCGACGTGCAGACAGCTCGGCGGCGACTGGCGGAGCGCGGTAAAATGCGGCGATGTAAAAACTCTGGAGCTGAGTGGGCTTCCCGTGGTTGGTGCCAGGAGAGCCTTCCATTGAGGCAGTTCCTCGGTGGTACGGTTACCTCTGGTTTCAGGCAGCGAAGCCGGAGATAAGTAGGAAGGAGTTATGATGGCGGGTTTATGGATTCCTGACATGTTAAATTAATGGTCTGACATCTGTCCTGCGAACTAACATGTCCGGCAGTACGGTAATTAGTCCGGAAGCGCAGAGCAGACCACACTAATCGGATCAGCAACTGTCAGTGAGGTGCAGCCGCTATGCAAATGCACGGCGGGTTATTAGTTCCAAATGGAAATAGGGTCTGGGTTCATTCAAACGACGCGTCAAAATTCCCTACTCCGGAGGAATTACCTACTACTAGTAATTAGTACGCCATACGCCGTACGTAATTGCCCGTTATGCACTTCACTTACTGTTTGTATTGCATTACACTGAACAATGAACATGTCACGATATTCACGGGCATGTGACTTTAGTAGCTCTAAACAAATCGTTTTACTTCGTCATTGCATCGCCCTCCCATCTACCTACACTTCCTCGCATTTTTTTGCGGACGGACCGGCCGAGAGCGCCTGTAAGGTAGGCTGTATCACACACTTCATATGCCGGTCCATAGATGGCACTGGTGTCAAACGCCTGAACTGATACTGTGCCGCAAGACTCTCCGCACCATAGCGCCTGAATCTATGCTGTGCCGCACGACTCACCGCACGGCGAAGAAGGCAGGCTGGACGAAATAATAAACCACGATGCGGCTTATAGAGTCTGGAGCCGAATTAGCCGGTAGATACCGGTCTGTAGCACAAGCTAATGACGTCTTTCGTCTTATATCTTGCGCAATATACATTACATCTTACATCCATCAGGAGCACTGCGTCGCATTACCGAGGCGACTATGCATTGCAGTCATTCCGATCGCCAGTATTGCGCGCCGTGTTGACGTGCCCTACATCCGCGCGGCGCGGCGCAGTCCTCTGGACACTCGAAAGGGCCATCAGTGCCCCGCGGCGGCGTCGCCGGTGGTCCCGCGGGCGGCGCTGATGAGATTACCATCGGCCCTGTTAGCTCCGGTAATAACAGGTGTCGCTCTGGGGAGGCCGGCCAGCGCGACCAGCTGAGACCGGCGGAGGACCGGCCGGCCGGCCGACCGAGCGACCGACCGGCCGACAGAGCGAGCGACAGGCAGATCAACCGACAGACCGACAGAGCGACGGAGTGACAGGCAGACAGAGCGACAGAGTGACAGACAGACTGACAGACCACCAAACCGACAAACCGACAGACCGCCGGCCGACCGGCCGACTGACAGACGGAAAGACCGACCGTCTGACCGACGGAAAGACCGACAGACAGACGGACCGACGGACCGACCAACCACCCGAATACCCTGCAACCGCCCGACATCCGCTGTGGGCAGCGCTGTGTGGAATATGTAGAATGAGATAAGCAGTAGGTACATTGTAGCCGTTTTCACGACGGAATAACGGGTACCTAATAGATGCCTGTTTGGACCTTTGACCTCAGGAATTTTAGTAGTTTCCTTTGATGCCTGAGGAATTTTAGGAGTTCTTTGTAGTAGGTTTTCTACCTTTCGAATAAGTGGCCCGTTACTTTGCTGTTTTTCTACTAAATATTACATTAATTTATTTTATCTAAGGGTTTACCACTCACGTAAACCTAAAGCGTAAGCACGTTTATGAAATCAGCATATCTATATAATGCTAGCACAATGATAAGGAAATATACTAGCTGCCAGCTGCGGATGACCGAGCTCTCCCAATTCCACGCTGGCTTGACTTTGGAACCGCAGCAGACGGCGGAAGTCAATGCCACTGCCAAGGCGGCGGCGGATTTGTTGCGCCCGGTCACCACCAGGGCGCGCGCAGCGTCGGGCCGGTGAAACAGAAGCCGGGTATCTAGCTGCCAGGCTGATTTGATCCCTCATAGTCGAAAGGTGGGCTACTAGAACCGAAAATTGACTTGTTTGTAAATAAATAAGCGATTTGATGGCCAAAATCGCCTGGATTACAACTTTTGAAATATTTTGAAGGCAAAAGACTTTAGTTGTAAGGATTATAAAGCCTTAAAGAGTTGGTACTTTCCACTCCAGGTATCAAATAGGTTCCACCGCGAAAGTTCCGTCGCGAAAACGGCCTGTATGGTGTACTGATTTATTGGATAATGCTGATATATCGGAGTGGTATATAAGATAATTAGACTTTATTTCGTGATTAATCCTCCGTGCAAAAACACAGCATCCTGAAAATGCAGTACCTATTAACCCGCGCCCTGCTGGGGGGGGGGGGGGGGGGGGGTGTTTGAACACCCCCCTTGTGGTTTTTCGCGAATACGCCGTTTTTGGTACACCTTATCATACATCAATTCTACACATGTTGTTAAAATTTCAGACCAAGGTCATTCAAGGTCAGGTCACCAGGTCACTTGAAGTGACCTCACCTCATAAAAAGTTTCAATGTCTGTCATAGCTACACCGAGTGACCGATCGCTTTGAAACTTTCACAGATTGCTAAGAGCAATAGCATGTACAAAATGTATATCTCAGAATTTTGATATCGATGACCTAAGGTCAGGTCAATTTTGCGACCTCCCCATTATAAGTCAATGGGAGAAAATTGAAATGCGCCTCTTTTGGACGAAAGACATTATAAACACTCCCAAACACTGAATTACAAGTGGTTTAGACACACTGAACATGAAAATGGTGTCCGTGACCCCTGTTTATGCCCTGAGGTCATCTTAGGTCACGAATGGTATCTAACAGTTTTTCGCAAATAACTTTTGATAGAGGCATGCTAGAGCGATGAAAACGCCTTAGATGTGTTCAGCTCGACGATACGGATCGACTGATATGCAACATGACCCTTTCCGGTCAGGTCATGACCTTGACCTGAGGTCAAATTTTCAAGTTGACCTTTCAAGGTCAAGTTATAGTTCATTCGATGCGTCTTGACAAGAGGAACACGATGCCGGTAAAAGTAAGCTCGTACAAGGCTTGGGTCAAAAGTTATTGCAGAAAAACTGTTTCCGAAAAATCGGCTATTTTTGCAGTTTTTGCCCCCTGCAGGCAAAACCGTTGACGTGAGGTCAAATTTGAGAGAATTACTCAGAAAGGGCGTTAATAGGGCTATCGATTGCGCTTTTCCGCGGCGCTGTAGCTCTATTGGTTCCCGAGTTATGCGTTGGCTTCTTGGAAATTGTCGACATTCGACCTGGAAATCGGCGAAATTTTGCCTTCAATGACCTCTGGTGACCTCTGGTCTGGTGACTTTGACCTGACCAAAAAATTGACCGAAGTGATTTCCTCATTATTTTTGACGCTCTTTCGAACGCCGCCTTCCGCGTATCGCTACGTGGCCCAGGAGCCGAGTTAGAATGGGGGGTGTTCAAACACCCCCCCCAGCAGGGCGTGGAAATCCAGGACCCCCAGCCGGGCGCGGGTTCATAAGCGACAGACTGTTGAGTATATAGTTGTGTGTTAGCCGCCAAACGACTGATGGCGACTTTCCGTGACAGAACAGCAGCGATTCCACCACGACTATTCCTCGTACAGTTACGGGTAAATACATAAAGACATCGAGCTGCACGCCATGACACGACATTACATCATCCAGAAAGACAGAACATGACTTTATCGTGAAAGATAGGCATGATATTCGTTATGTGATGGCTGTGATTATGCGAGAGAAGGATTACCAAAACATTCAGACTTCCGTTGGTATTCATCCGCAGTGTACATACACATTTATGTGTAACATTTATGTGCATATCTTTCTAACTTATTGGCATTTTTATCATTTCATCGCCGCAGATCGGGTGTAACTTTTAACAAATTGAAAATTTCCTGAAAAGAAAAACTGAAAAGGTTCATCAGTGTCTACCGTCGCTCTAACGTCATCCATT